TCAAAAAAAAAAAAAAAAGAAACACGATTTTGCTTCCTATGTATAGGAAACAATTGAAGATGTTGAAGAAATGCTCAACAATCTCCCTGGTGTGACATCAGTTCACAGTCGTTTCTACGATCTCTCCAGTAAATACTATCAAACAATTGGAAATCACGCCTCCTACTACAAAGATGCTCTGCGGTTTCTGGGCTGTGTTGACATCAAGGATCTACCAGGTAACGTGGGCCATTAAAGTCCATGTGACACAGGAGCATGTTCTCCAAATGCAGTGGCTGTAAGGTGCTTGAGGTGATAGGTCTCAGAAATTACTCAAATGGATTCCTCCTCTTTTGAAGAAAAGGTGGGAAGATTTGTTTGAGCTTTAGTTTCTACATTGTATTTGTTTCTAGCATTTAATTCAGCTGAAAGTGAGGCTAATTCCTCCTAGCACCTCTACCATTCCTTCTCTAGGGTCTCACTGTACCTAGGTCAGAGGTTTCTGTAGGAAGTACAGAATGTAAGTACCTTCTAACTACCCCCATCCCTGTAGCTGAGACCCTTGTTCTGAAAACTGAAAATTCAGACTTCTGGGAATAAGTTGTAAAATCTTCCAAGGATTCACGTGTGGAAAGAAAAGTGACCAGTGGGTTTTAGAGAAAGTGTAAGAAATTTTAGCTGTTTCTCACAATATACTATTGAGGCTCACGAGACCAGCAATGCTTAAAAGTGTTGATGCAGTTCTGATTACTGTATCTCGAGAAAAATGTATTAAGAAGAGCAACTAATGTGGTCAAGAGAATAAAGGTCTTGCTGTATAGGAACAGAAAGTACATTAATTCTAGACTAAAAAGAGGCTAAATTTAGTAATGTGAACATAAATAAAATAAGAGGTAGTACTACTTCCCATAGCAGGTAAGGAATTTAAGGAACTCATTATTCTTGGAAGTAGTACTGGCTGAGATATGAATAGACTTACATAATTTTAGGAAAAAAGTAATAAATGAATGTGTTTCCCATAAAACTCTTGGCTCCTGGTATAATCTGAGTCAATCCAATACTTGAGAAGAGATGACTGATGTTAATTAAGGCTTTGTAATTTAACCATTCCAAAGAATGGTTTTTTTACTTTTTATTATGTGAGATTTTTAAAGCCAAACAGGACTGATTGTTGTAACTGGACCTGTGTTGCTACACAGTGTCTGAGCAGCAGGAGAGAGCGTTCACGCTGGGACTGGCAGGACTTCTTGGAGAGGGAGTTTTTAACTTCGGAGAACTCGTAAGTTGGCCCTGGGCTCAGCTTCTTTAACAAGGGGGAGACTGACTTTCCTTGTCGGCTGACCACCTGTTCTCACAGCTCATGCACCCTGTGCTGGAGTCACTGAGGAGCACTGACAGGCAGTGGCTGATCGACACCCTCTACGCCTTCAACAGTGGTAATGTAGAGAGATTCCAGACTCTGAAGACGGCCTGGGGCCAGCAGGTGGGTCTCCACGATGCCCGGCTGTTTATTCATTGAGTCAACAGATGTTTGTTGAGCTACATGCCAGGCACATAGGGAGGCACTGGGCAGAGAAGAGATGAAGACAGGCAGGTGCTTGCTCTCTCAGAGCAGGAAGCTAAGTGGTTAGTTAGCTACAGGATGGCTTAGTGCTGCAGAGGAACGGTAAAGGGTGTTCTGAGAGGATGGAATAGAGTAAGGGCCCTTCGTCTGTGCTGGGTTGGAGGGGCCTCACAGAAGGTGTCCCGGAAGTAAGGATGCTCTGCGTGCCGTGGGGGTGAGTGAGAAGCAAACTTGGCAGAGCAAAAGGAAACTTGAAGCGTGTCTGCTGCACCGGGAGAGTGTGCGGGCTACTTTGGGTGTTGAGGATGGGGATCGCCAGAGCGTGCAACGTGAGGGAGGGATGAGCTCAGCGTGGGCGCA